GTGTGTGTGTCTGTGTGTGTGTGTGTGTGTGTGTGTGTGTATATGTGAGTGTGTGTGTGTATATATGTGAGTGTGTTTGTGTGTGTGTGTGCGCGCGTGTGTGTGTGTGTGTGTGAGAGATGCAGGTCACTCACCAGGATCAGTATCTCGCTCACGCTGCTCCAGTTTCACTGAAAACAAGCAGATCATGTTAAAGTGAGGACCTGAGGAACCTACAACTCGACAGACTCTATCAGTGTAAACATGAGCATCTGAAACTGGATTAATACACAAAGCCATGCAGTGAGCACACAATTCAGTTCAAATTTATTTATAAAGCACTTTAAAAACTGCACAAGCATGCTGTGTGATTATAAGAAACGGTGTCGTTCACATGGCACTTTTTATTTCAATTAAATGAATGCACTATATATTAGTTGGATAATGTTTTTTTATTTAAACATTTTGTATTTTTAGGGGATTTTATGGTACTAAATTAATGGAATAGTTAAGATCCATTGTCCTGTCAAACACTTTTTTGAGCATAAAAATGATATTTCCAACTTAAACTGTCATAAATCTTGAATGCTTTTTTCTTCTTTTTAAAGAAGACACTTTCCAGATTATTGCTGAAGTGAAAAAAAGTTTAAAAAGTTAAACTTAAAAAAAAAAGTTTACAGAAGTTTGAGCTTATTATTATGAAGAATGCACAAAAATACTATTTAAAAAATTTTAAATTTAAAAAGCCAGAAATCTAAAGTTGTGTTCCAAATTTGAGGTTGATATCGCAAAAAATTAGCTTTCAGTAAAATTTTGTTCTGGCGCACTACCAAACGCTTCCCATTCGTTTCCAATGTGGTCATTTTTGACCATTCATGTCCATGATTTTTGTATGCGTGTTCACTTAGCAAGTGCCAAATCCCTTATCAAGTTTCATACCATTCCGGAGAAGTCAAAAAAAAAAAACTTTAAATTTTTCAGATAAGACAAAAATTACCAAACAGCACCAGAGGGCTAAAAAAAATAAAAATACAAAAATTTACATTTAATTGAATCTTCAGACACAAGTAGATAAACTGCAAAAATAAAATCAGGCTAATGATATAAACAAACTCCTCAGTAAAATCCTTTTGAATATAGAGAGGAATAAAATTGATTAGTTTGATTTATACAAGTGCAACAGAAGTGGAGAAAAATCTCTTTAAAAGATATGTACTGTATAGGGGTGTCACGATATACCGGTATTGACGATAACTGTGATATTCGAATCATGAAATATCGACATTGTGTTAATTTAGGGTGTGATGAAATACCGGTATTGGCGATAACCATAATATTTAAAATGAACAGGACACTTATGAAAACATGACTTGCAAAATAGCCAACTCCAGCACCAGTACCAGAGTTGAGCTCCCAGGGGGCAGTATTGTGTATTAACGCTGACACCTGTCAAACAAGAAGAAGAAGCAGCGCACAGAAGAACCATGTTCAATATTATACAGACAGTAAGTTGCCATTATTTAACTAGTCATGGACTGGGAAACGTTACATTAACCTGTTAACAGCGGTTTCCTGTGTTCATATGTTTAAATAAAGGGGTGATTCTTTTAACAAGTACTGCGTTTTCTTTACTCATCTAATTTTTTTTGGTTTCAGTTTTGACGTAAACAACATTTTGAATGAACAGCTCAGCAGCGCCGCATCTAGTGGGTTCAACTGGATAGGCTAAAAAAACTAATTAAAATGCAATGACCCCTACATCGTCATCGCATCTCGTGTGCCACTGATAAGGCAGCTTGACGCACACCTAAAATGTGGATTTTTATTTTAAATTCGACGAATATTCGAAATTCTATGTTTTTTTTTTGACAGCCCCAAGTGTATTTTGCATGCTTTCTTTCCACTAGTCTGAAGCAGCACGTATGTGTGGAGAGATGATCATGTACCTGTCAGAGGTAAGCGCTCGTGATAGACTGAACTTCGGGTCAATGCAGAAGAAGACAAAACCTCCTCATCTTCTCTCTCTGGGTCGGTCGTCGCTCCAAACCGATGCGGTGAAGGACAGTAGCTCCTCACTGTTCACACATTCAGCAGAACTGTTCAGCGGCCTTGTTTATTCTACTATACTTCTCTATATAAAGCTACTGAAGTCGTCTCACCTTCTTGTATGACTCTGAGAGAGCTGGACTGAGGTTTCTTCTCCATCACTGAAGGACTCTGTGTCTCAATAGTGTTCACCAGCTGAAGCAGAGCACAGTCAGAGTTAGGGCTGCACGATTAATCGAATGCGATAGTCATGCGCCGAAAAAAAAAAAAAGAATAGCAGACGATATAATCGTGTGATTATGAAATCGAAGAAAACGACACTGAAAGCTGTTTGCGTAGCTTCTTAGTGAACTACGGCTCTGTGTAGTAAATGCTGCTCCATCAGAACGTCGTGTGTTTATTAGTCACGTTGAATCAATGAAAGCAGTTAAATCTTCTGTTTATTCAGCTTCCGCTATAGGGCTTCCCTGGATTTCTTTTGCACGAGAGCGCCCTCTGGCCTTCGAATGGAGATTTACTACTGGTCACAGAAAGATGCGCATGACAGTCGCAGCTTTTCACCATGTCCTAACTACACGCGACAAAATCAATCAAATATCACAGCCAATCAGAAGCGTGTGTGGGCGGAGCCTCTCTATAAGCATTGCATTATTATATACTTTATCATATTAAACATTATAATAAGACAAACTCAGATAAACCATATATTGTTGTAGTCGTGTGTTTATTAGTCATGTTGAATCAATGAAAGCAGTTAAATCTTCTGTTTATTCAGCAGCCGCTATAGGGATTTCCCGGATTTCTTCTGCGCGATAGCGCCCTCTGGCCTTCGAATGGAGATTTACTACTGATCACAGAAAGATGCGCATGACAATCGCAGATGCGCGACAAGATTCCAGCGACAATCAATTTGGGTGTCCACACCAAACGTGACAGAATCAATCAAATATCACAGCTAATCAGAAGCGTGTGTGGGCGGAGCCTCTCTGTATTTAAACTCATATTAGACACGTTTAACTTTGAATAAAGCACATAATCACCTGAGATTATCTACTGTCATGTTGTTGTTCCAGCCGCGACGTCGCGGAAATAGAAACCGTTTATCAATTTTAAATTCGGCGTTTCGCCATCGTGGCTAGTGAGGACAAAAACTCAGATTAACATGGAAAAGATACCTTATAAAACGGAGAGTTCCGGTCCTTGATTCTGATTGGCTGAAATTTATAACAGCTAACTCCGCTTCGCGTTGTCCCTAACAACGCCCCTTAGCTGTTATAAATACACTGTAAACCACGGCTTCACGGGGCTTATTGTTTTATTTTATCGCGTGTCACGGCGTCGCATCGCGTGTAGTTAGGACACGGTGTTTGCCTAATCGCGATTGCGATTTAATTGCAACTTATCGTGCAGCCCTAGTCAGAGCGTTTCCCATCATGCAGCTCATCAGCAGCTTCATGTCTTACCAGTCTGGTGCTGGCGAACTCTCGGTCCATGTGATCGGCGATGCTCTGCAGTCTGAGCAGCTGAGCATCCATCTCTGAGAGCCGCGCTGAGATCTGACTCCTGGACATCAGCATCCGGTCCAGAGCGCGTGGAGGAGGCAACCTAACACCCGTCAGGACGCTCAGAGTCACGGGGTCTCCACCGAGAACGGCTTCAGGAGACACGCACACTACTGAGGGGCCTGCAGGAAGACCAGAGCAGTCAGTTTAGATAGGGAACTAGATTCAGAATGGTCTGACTGGCAGGTTGTTACAATCACTAACAACAGAGTAATATTTCTGTCGACTGATATTTGACCATTTTGAGATCTGCACTGGTCGTTAACCATATGTGACCCTGGACCACAAAACCAGTCATAAGGATACATTTTTCGAAATTTGTCATTCATTCAATCATTAACCAATCGTCAAAACCATTTGCCAATCTCTGCACTGTGTACCTGGATTCCCTCCAGCCAGATTCTCAGTGTTGTTAGGGGCGGGGCTTAAGTCAGGTTTGTGGGCGGGGTTTACGACAGACGCCGCTAGTAGGTGGAGCTGAGCCGATGAGGGCAGACTCTGAAGCAGAGAGTCGTCTGTCAGATCGATCACGTTGATGAACCGTCGTCCCTCTGGACTCTACAATAACAGAGAGACGATCCAAACTCAGTCTGAAACCGTTCGAGCATTATTAGATTCGAATATGGTTTTTATTGCAGCGTTTCCCTACAAGATCTACGTCAGACTCCGCAGGGCTTCTGTTCTCCGGATCTAATGATGTTTCCTTAGAGTAGCGAAGATTCAAGAAAACATCTGGAGGAACGACAGGAGCAACATCTATCGGCCCTCCTCCAGCTGTGGAGAAACACATCAGACATACAGCAAAGACATACACAAACAATGAGCTGCATGATAATGTAAATGACACAAAATATTTTTCATGATTTTCGGTCGCTGATTTTTTTGCATCATCCGATAGTATGAATCAGTGTTATTTTAGTATCATTGATATTATAGTATTTATTAATATTTTTTATTTGTTTATCATGTTCTATTTTCATTTAAATTTAAAGTTTTAGTAAATTTGTTGTTTTTATCATTTTTAATGTATATATAGCTCTTATTTTTATTTCAGTTTCAGTTTTTTCAGTACTTCACATTTAAATAATATTAAAAAAAATTCATTAAATAATTAAAATTATATTTTAGTTAACATCTATTTAATTACAAGTAACAAAATATTTTTTTTTTGGCTTTAATGGAATTTGTTGTAGTCCTAATTTTAGTTTCATTGATATTATAATATTTATTAATTTTTATTTGTTTATCATGTTCCATTTTCATTTAAATTTAAAGTTTTAGTAAATTTGTTGTTTTTATTATTTTTATTTTTTAACGTCTATATAGCTCTTATTTTTATTTCCGTTTCAGTTTTTATATATATATAAACAATTTGTAATTAAATAATTAAAATAATATTTTAGTTAACATCTATTTTATTACAAGAAAATTTGTGAATTATTATTTTTTTTTGCTGTTATAGAATTTGTTGTAGTCCTAATTTTAGTTTTCTTTAATGATAATATTTTGCATAATATTTTCCAGCAAAAATAAATGAACTATATATATGTATATATATGTATATATATATATATATATATATATGTGTGTGTGTGTGTGTGTGTGTGTGTGTGATTTTTATGTTTATTTTTTCTGGGAAATTATGCTAAATTATCATTCTTGTCCATAATTTTCTGTCGCTGATTTTTTTCTTTAGTAGAGACCATCTTTATTTCTTTCATTTAATTTGCTTACGACGCTTATAGAAAAAAAAAACTTTCTAATGCAACAATGTTTAAAAAAAGTTATGTTATTGAAAGTGTATTTACTAGCCTAAAGTAAAATTAGATTTTCATTTTGACGCATCTCAAGTGCTCATTTTGGACCCAGATTCATCTCATGAACTCACGAGCAGATGGCATGCTGGGAGATGAAGGAAGCTGGATGGAAACGGCTTCATCTGTGACGGGGCGAGACGGTTCTGGAGGAAACAGAGGCAGAAGTTACAGCAGTGAAGTTAAAGTGTGTGATCTCAGCGATCGGACCACATACCAGTGTTTGTACAGGCGTCCTGGATTTCAGGAGCTCTCTTCTGCGTCGAGGCGAAGGCATGCAGCTCAGCCGAGGTGACGCAAGCCTTATCCAACAACCGCTGTCCCGACAACTCAGAGTCAAAGCAGCCTGAGCAGAAAGACAAGTACATTTCATCTACATCTGAAGAACATGAGGAAGACAGGCAGAGTTTGGGAAGCAGTGCTGATATTGTTAACTAAAACTAGTAAAAACTGCTTTCGGTAACTGAAATAATGCTTAAACTACATAAAAATAACTAGTAAAAAAATAGCCCTAACTTAAAAATTAGAAATGCAGCTTAAACTAAACAAACAAAAAAAAAGCTAAATAGAAATGTTTTTAAAAATTAAAACTAATAAAAATTACAGAACATAAAATTACTAATGTTAAAATGAAATATAAAAATAAAAGTTAATCCAAAATATCACTTACACAAACAATGAGCAATTAAATATATAAGACGTAAGAGTAAACAATGAACTTATTCAACATTTTCTAATAGCATGTATAAACATTTACTGGCCATAAATATTTTTACCGGCCATGAAACAGTATTTTGCATAATTTCACAGAATGAATGAATGAATGAATAATAAAGCCACTTTTGGTAATTTAAATAAAGCTTTAAAAATATATAAATTACATGAAGAACATAAAAACCTAATTGAAAATGACAAATGTTGCTAAAATAAAGTAAATTTAATCTGAAGTACTAAAATTACTAAAATTAAAAACAAATTAAAGCTAAACAGAAATATAAAATTAATAATAATAAAAAAGACAAAAAACTAAATTAGTAAAACTAGTATTAAAAGTGAAAATATAAAAATTATCATTAACTCAAAATATCACAGATTTACACAAACAATGAGCAATTAAATAAAAAAATAAAATAAAATAAAAAAATATATATATATATAAACATTGGTGAAGTACTAAAATTACTAAAACTGAATAGAAATATAAAAGCAATTTCTCAAATTAAAATTAAAAATGTAATTGAAAAGATCAAATTAAAAGCTGATTGACAATATTAAGAAATACTACAAAGGAATATAAATAAGGCTAAACTAGCACTGTCAGACACATATTTCTCACCTAAAGGAAAGGTGTAACCGTCGTTCTGATCTGGCACATCTTCTGCAGGCTGAACACAACAAAAGACAAGAGGATCGACTTTGCTATTATACTGTACATGACTTAAAGCAGTGGTCGCCAACCCGTGGATCGCGATCGACTGGTAGATCTTATCACTGTCCCAGTAGATCCCGAAAAAAAACAGTAAAATAAGTACAAAAATGCATTACATTTCTGGGGTTATATTAATGTATCACTGAAGGGAACTGTCTTGAGAAAAGTTTCGATGGCAATGGCATTCTCTTCTCCGTATAAAGCGCAGCTCTGCTTTTTTACAGCGGTAACCAAGGAAACGCTATAGTGCGGTCGGTTCATAAGCAGTGTTGCCAAGTCCGCGGAATTGGGCTACTTAACACTGTTTCCGCGGGTTGTTGTTCATGTCCGCGGGTTGAAGCGACCCCAATAACGTGATATTTAGTATATATAAAATAAAATAAAATTAGTATAGCGCATTTTCTTTACAGTAAATTTAAACGTCTATAACTTTTCGATACTTTAATTTTTTGAAAAAATTCCACTTTTGCAATAATCTGCTGATTTTCTTCTTAAAAAAAAGAGACCAACCTTAGGTCTGTATTCCAAAGTGTTCAACAGCAATTGTCCTATCCTAACAAAGCATGCATCAATGGAGAGCTTATTTATTCAGCTTTCAGATGATGTCAAATGGACCCTTATGACTGGTTTTGTGGTCCAGGGTCACATGGTCTGCATGCGGTCAGGTGTGTGGTTTGCAGCCGCGTCACCTCTTGATGGATGGGCTGCTTGTGCTGTTGTTCTCCGGGACAGGGTCGGTCTTTAAGAGCTGTAGTTTGGTCTCAGTGGCCCACCTCAACAGCTCCTGCAGCGGGATGAGACGAGCTGTTCGTACCGGAGCCGTGCTGAAGCGCTGAACCTGCACAAACACACATGAACGCACCACAAAATCAATGTGGTTTGATCAAAATCTCACGTGCATCACAGCTCTTCTGCTGACAATCACTAACCAAGTGCGCAGATTAATGCAGACTCATATCACTGAATGTGTCACACTTATAGATATGAATAATACAGTGAAGTGTAATTATGCCTGTTATGCTACTAAATCAGCAAAAACTTCAGCTGCAGTTGTTTGTTGTCTTATTGTCGAGTCAAAAAGAACATTTTTCAAAAGGAACATGTATCTATATAGTGTTTTTAGATGAAAACTAATAATTTAATGTTTAATCACACTATTATTGATATTCCTATTTTTATATTATGTGTTAAAGTGTTTTTGAAATCATATATATATTTATAAGGATACATTTAACCTTAAATAAAGAATGGAAAGAACAGTCTGGTGTTTGAGTGAATCGAAAAAAAAAAAGAAAAAAAAACTATATTTTGCATTTTTGAAAATTATTATAATATATTTTAAATAAAAATATTATTCTAAAATATTTAATTATTATATAAACTATGAATAAATTAATTATTAATAAAGTGATAAGTAAATGTGATTACTGCTCGGAGTAAATAGTAAAAAAAATGTTATTTAGAATTATTTCATTATAAATTAAATTAAATATTCTATTATCTAAAATTATGATTAAAAAATTAATTATAAGTAAAGTCATGAAGATGTGTTTACTGCTCTGAGTAAAAAAGGAAAAATAAAAAAGAAATTATATTTTTATTGATAAAATGTTCATAAAATATATAATATAAAAATGTATGAAATATATTATACAAAATTAAAAGTATTGTGATGAGTAAATTAATATTCATTACTGCTGAGTAAATAAATATTATTTAATAAATTATTTAGTAAATATTATTAAAAATTATTATTACCATCATTATTATTACTATTATATTCAGTTATACTAAAAATATAATTACAACATATTCAACTATTATACAAAGTTATAAAATTAAATATAAAAGTTATGAGTAAATGTGATTACTGCTCAGAGTAAATAGTAAAGTATTTAAAGTTTATTTGTATAGCGCTTTTCACGATACAAATCGTTGCAAAGCAACTTTACAGAAAACTAAGTTTCTACAATATATTTATTAGTAGCTTATCAGTGATGACTGCCAGTTAATGTACATATGGCTGTTAAAAACAGGGATTAAAGTTTTCAGTTCATAAAGAGAGTCACTTGCTTCATTCCTGAATGAATCAGCCGTTCGAACGAATCAATTGAATGAATGATTCAGTGATCAAATCAGTGACTTGCCGCCACCTGCTGGCGGATTTAGTTTCATTTTTAGCGTATAATTTCAGTTATTTAAATTATTTAATATTTCTGTATTCAATGTTTAATGTTTTAAATATAACATTTTAAATACAGAAATATTAAATGATTTAAATATCTGAAATCATACACTAAAAATGAAACTAAATCCGCCAGCAGGTGGCGGCAAGTCACTGATTTGATCACTGAATCATTCATTCAATTGATTCGTTCGAACGGCTGATTCATTCAGGAATGAAGCAAGTGACTGTCTTTATGAACTGAAAACTTTAACCCCTGTAAAAATCAATTAAAGACGTAATCAAACAGACGATGAACACTATTAACAGCAATTATTATATGATGCAATCAAACTATTATAGCAAAAGTATTTCCATAATCTAATTAGTTAATCTAATGTTGTTGGTGTAAATGGCGACTCACAGCGGCGGGTGGATCCGGCTCTCTGTGCAGCAGCTGAATTCTGGGATAGTGGTCTAGACTGGGCTGTTTTGCCGTGGTGGATTGTGGGATGTGAGGCAGCGTCACGGGCCGCTGGGTATCTGGGTGAAAGCGCAGCAGAGGAAGAGCAGGAGCAGGAGGCAAACGCAGCGCTCCCTGAGCTCCTCGACTCATCGGAGCGCTACAGCGGCGCGTCTGAAGGAGAGGCGGAGGAGCCGCGGATGCTGACGCTGCTCTCCGGACACTCCTCGACTCATCGGAGCGCTACAGCGGCGCGTCTGAAGGAGAGACGGAGGAGCCGCGGATGCTGACGCTGCTCTCCGGACACAGTGGGGGTCAGACTGAGCGGGGGGGAGGTTTGCATGAGATGAAGTGAGGTCTGGAGGAGCGGGAGGAGGAGGCAGCTGCAGGAGTCTGAGTCCGTGTGTCACTGGAGCTTCAGAGGACGCCGGCAGAGACGTCTGATTATCAGCGGTGCTCAGAAGCCCCCGAGACGTCGGGATCAAACTCCTGCCGTCCTCCGGCCAGTCTGAGCGGATGCTCAACTGCTGGACTTCCTGTGAGAGATTCAACTCTAATATCAGTCATTACATAGTCGCTGGGGTATATTTGTAGCAATAGCCAACAATACATTGTATGGGTCAAAATTATAGATTTTTCTTTTATGACAAAAATCATTAGGATATTAAGTAAAGATCATGTTCCATGAAGATATTTAGTAAATTTCCTACCGTAAATATATCAAAACTTAATGTTTGATTAGTAATATGCATTGCTAAGAACTTCATTTGGACAACTTTAAAGATGATTTTCTCAATATTTAGATTTTTTTGCACCCTCAGATTCCAGATTTTCAAATAGTTGTATCTCGACCAAATATTGTCCGATCCTAACAAACCATACATCAATGGAGAGCTTATTTATTCAGCTTCTAGATGATGTATACATCTCAGTTTAGAAAATTTGACCCTTATGACTGGTTTTGTGGTCCAGGGTCACATATGGCTAAGTGTACAATTTCCTGCTTATGATAGGACTACTTGCAAATAAATAAATATTCAATCAATAAATACATACATTTTAAAATAATATATTGATAAATACTGACAAATAATAGCAAATAATCATTAATGATAAATAATAATTTATTATTATTGATAAATATAAATAAATATGACACATAAGTATTATTACATAAAAAATATATTTAATATTTAAATAAATAGTTAAGTAGTTGTTATTATTATTATTAAATAAATGATATTGATGAATACATAATTTATTATATATTATTATTAATAAATATATGATCAGTGAATACAAAAATATTGATAAATAGATTATTTTTGTTAATCAATTAGATTTTTTTTTTTTATTATTGGCATCTACCAACAATTCCTATTCTTTTGATTGGTTATTAAAAGTTCATTTAAAAAATTAAAATTAAAGTAAATGGAGTACAAAGTTAAAAGGTCATAAAAAAGTAAAATAAGCATTTTAATACCATTTAAATAGTTTTAAAAGGTAGTTTCAAAATGTACGAACAGCTTTCTCATTAGATAATGCACATTTTCTGTTTTCAAATATTTTTGTGAATTTTGAGTATATATTCTTATAGCTTATATGTCCAAAATACATTCATTTGTAAAATAGATACATAACTATTACAAATAATTTTCGTTAGTTGAAACAAAGCTGAAATAAAGTCTGAAATAAAGCTGAAACAAAGTCTAATATAAATGTATGAAACGTAAAAAAACTTAATAAAAAATAAATATAATTAGAAATATTAAAAAAAAAAAAATTTTAAATGCCAAAAGCACGTAACAAACTCACTAAAACAAACTAAAATTAAAATGAAAACTATAAAAAATAAATTCAAATAAAACGAAATAAAATATGAAAATAGAAAATTAACATTCAAAAATATTAATAAATACCATTTTTACCAAGTAATTAATACTAACATAACACCAATATTATTTTTATAATTACTAATATTACCGGAGGTTTGCGGGTTGGGTTTCTCTGTTCCCTCTCATTACGTGGATTCAGATCAGATCCAGAATTCACATTCACAGGACATAAATCCTGGGTGTTGTTAACCCTTTCCGGTCCGGTGGCTCGTGTTGGGAGGCTGGTCTCATCACACACAGTGTGCTGGGCATTCTGGGTAAGAGAGACGGGCTGAGACTGGCGCTGTGCAGGTATCGCAGTGGACTGAAGCACGCTGGCTCGAGACAGCGGCAGGTTTGAGAAAGACGCTCCAACAACCTGCATGAGACTCATGAAGTTGATCTGCTGCAGCTGAAACAGAAGGAAAACAGGAAACTGTAAATGTTTGGGCACTGAATCATTCATATCAGTGTTTCCTATTAATTCTCTGGACTCTGGCGGCCCAAAAAGATTTAATCTGTCCCGCCAGTTACATAATGAACCATTTATCACAATTAGATAAAACATCTCCAGTGTTGTTTTTTGTGCTAATGATTGATGTCAAACAAACAACTCTTTTATTCTGTTAATACATATGTGCACTATTTGTAAGCAGTCCAGCTGCAATTGCTTTGGCAATACAAATGTATAATTTTTGTCATGTCAATAAAGCACTCTTAAATTGAAATTGAATTGAAAATTGAGAGAGCGAGAGAGAGAGAGAGAAAGAGAGAGAATTGAATTGAATAGAGAGAGAGAGAGAGAGATTAATTATTGATGAACAGATGCTTTGGCATTATTTTGTGAAAAAAAAAAAAGATGAGTACAGTGTGTCACTAAATTTATAATGAGACGTGTTTGTAAACCATTTTTTCACAGAGACTGACGTTTTCCAACAAAATTAGAAATTAAGAACAAAGTATTATTATTTTCCTACTGTAAAGTATTATGAAATATTTACTTTTTTAAATTTATTTTACAGTGCAGTTGTATTAAAAAAGTAATATGTTATTATTTGTATTAGTACTATATTGTGAATGTATATCACAAAGAAAGAGACGTCTGAGTCCACTTTTACCGTCAATTTGAACACTACAAATGTGACGGATGGGTCTCTCAAAGTGCAGCAGATTGATGCATTTAACATAAAATACTCAAAACTGTCCTCCATAGTTTCAGAGTCCTGCATGTGTTTATTAAACAGGGATGTGATGAAGAGGCTCAGACGCACCTGCACAAGTCTGAAGAGCTCGTCCTGGAGCAGCTGTCTGACGGGGTCTGTCTGTGTTTGGGGTTCACTGAGAGGTGCTTCAGCGCCGGGTCTCATGGGTAATGACGCTGCGTCTGTCCGCTGAACGCCGACTGAAGCTGAGAGCTCAGGTCTGAAAGGAAAGCAGCACAGATGCTTTCAGAGAATCACGCTGAGAGTAGGGATGCAACGATATATCAGAATCTCACGATACGATATTATTGCGATATGAAGTCCACAATATGATATTTATTGCGATATTTGAAAAGAAAAAAAGGCAAATGAAGAATTGGGGAAAAAATTACTGTGTAGATTTTAAAGTTAAATTATTCTATCTAGTGCACTTTGAGAGTTCAAAATTAAGAGCTCCG